TTTTTGTAGCTATGTCATAACTAATTTTGCTACTGTTACAAATTTTAATGTAAATATCAGATATGCAACTGGTCTTAGGTGACCCCTGTGAAAAGGGTCATTCAACCCTCAAAAGTGTCGAGAACCACTGCATTATAGGATCAGGGAAAAGTCTAGTTACTTCTATTGGCCTGATCTATTTCACTTTCCCTTAGACAGTGGACTTTATTTATGTATTTCATTTATTCATATTTTTGTATTTAGAACCAGTTGGGAACAAGATACTGTATGTTTATAGTAATGTAATTGCATCTTGAGCGTGTATCTCAAGCAGAAAGTAACTTACCGAGGAAATGCAGCTGACAAAGTGAGATAGGTAAAGGTACCTACCACCGTCTGTTGTCACGGGCGCATGCTAATCTGTGTTAGACTGTCCAGTGTGCACCATGTGCTGTCCACTGCAGGGACTGTTACAGTGAAGTCAGGCTTGCTCTTGAGACACTGGCAGTGTGAAAAGTGTTGCCCTCAGAACTCAAGGAAATCTTTATAGTTTCATTGTGTATTTTGCCAACTGTTGACGCGTAAGTATCAAAGAAGTTCATTGTATTATGGAGTGTTTTCCTCATCTCAACCAGGTTTTACTGATTAATGGCATCTAGATAGTTGATAAATAGCAATTTTATTAACAGTCGAGGTCTTTTGAATCAAGGCACTCCCTCTTAGCAGTCATTTGTAAAAGTGAAGGGTTAGGATCAAATAAGTTGTGCTGCCTCTATGGGATTCTCTAGGAAGCAATGGGGATTCAGTGTTTCTTGTCTTCTATACCTCAGTAACTGTGACAAGCCCAGAGTCAGTGGTGCTGTGGCAGCCGTGCCTTGGACAGTATGAGTTAGAGACATCTGAAGTGAGGAAACAAGAAAATACACTTACCTCTTGACTTTGGCAAACACCTTTCCTCTTTTATTTATTAATAAACAGGTAATTATAAGGCCACTGCCAGTTATGAAATAGTAAAGTATAAGTCCATAAAACATTTTGAGATGAAGATTCTTTTCTTTTCTCTTGTAGCAAGACCAGGATGTAGCAAGCAGTCCTCCAGAGAGCTCCTTCCAGAAGTTGGCGCCCAGCGAGTATAGGTACACTTTACTGAGAGATCGAGATGAGCTGTAAGACCTGAGAACACTGCGAGCCTTTCAACAGCAGCGTTGGCTTACATGATGGAAATAGCAAACCTATATTTTCATAATTCTATGTGTATTTTTATTTTGAATAAACTGAAAGAAGTTTTGGGTTTTTAATTTTTTTTCCTCCCCCTGACTCAAATGCATTATCATTTAATACAGCCTCTTTTTAAAAATTTTCCTAGGGTTTAAAAACATAAAATAAAAACCAGAGGCCTATCTCCACTTTAAGTCTGTCTTGTACAGTCTTTATAATGCAAGCAGAAGGTGGCATTGCCAGATGCATACCACACCACTTCAGGGGCAAGAAAACCAGCCTGGTTCTGTGTGATGTATGCTTTTTCTTTCTTCTTCTTTTCACATTATCAATCCTATGGGTATTTTTATTATTACATTTCTCAAAGCTAAGAGTATATATATTCTAGAGATTTGGGAGGGGAATAAATTAAAAATTTCACACCGTTTACTGTGTTGTACTGATTGGTTGGGCATTGCTTATGAGAATTCCATAGTGGTTCTTCTTGGATTCCTAGTGTGTAACTTAAACATACTATGAAGAGGAGGAGAGCCATAAGCCAGAGCATTTGGCAGAATTTGTCCTTATGAATTAAGAAAGAAAAAAATGGAAGTATTATTAAATTTCTACATGTTTGTCTGAGAAAGCAGCATATGGATGGCATTTAAAACTGAACGAATTAAACCCGAAATCAGGAAAGTGGAGACACCAGTGGAGCAGGTTACTAGTGTTGAACTAGAAACTTTTAAGGCTCTTTCTGTCTAGAAATTTCCATTTTCAAAAAAAAAAAAAAAAAAAAACTATTTCAATTACTGTAAGCCTCCTTCTGTCTTTTGTAGTTCTGTTATGTAGATCAAAGGCAAAGCTGTTAAGGAACGTAAGGTTTTAAATTCTTCTCCCTGTGTCAACTATTGAGGACCTTTAGAGGGCTTTCCCCCTCTATCGTCCTTGTTTTCCCAAGCCTGCTGTGTGCAGCCAGAAGGTCCCTGCCAGGCCTCAGTACTGCCAGGGATGAAAGCAGAGGGAGAGGACCCTCTGCATTCTATCAGGAATCCCAGTGCCAGAGGTCAGACAGGCTCTAAATTGGCTTTCCTCAGGGCCTGGGTGTGGTGCTATAGGCCAAGGGTCATTTATCCTTGGGATATAAGTCAGTCCCAGTTTGGGGAGATATTATTTTTAAGCTTAAAAGGTTGACATGTGCCATTATATGTAGTATGTAATATATGTACCATCTTTCAATCCTTTTAAAATAAAATGAATATTTATAATGGATATTTAATAACTGTTATTTTTAAAAATCAGCTTCTAGTACTTAATTATGCATGACTTTGTCCATAAATTCTGTAGTTTTATTCAGAATAATAAATATTAACGAGGTGATAAGGGGCATGTTTAGAATATTTCACCAGACTGTGAGTGGAAAACTAGGACAGAGCTTTCTAGAAGATGGCCTTCATTCTGTCATTTTATTGCTTTTAGTCAGTATCTTGAATAGGATCACAGTTGTTTTCAGTGATGAGACAGGACAAATCTGCGAGGCTCGGAATGAAAACTCACAGGTAAACAAGATCCAAAACAGCACAAAAAAATCAGCTGTAATAAATGTGATTCTGTAATTAGGTTTGAAAAGTAATAAGAGATACCACTCAAGCGTTAGGCTGCAGACACTTAGCTGGGAATAGTTACTAGAAAAAAAGGTTACAAGGGCACCTTCAGTGTGCTCTAAAATGACAGAGGGCTGTGTAAAGTGAAAAAGTTGGTGTGTTATACAGCATTTGTGCATGTCGGGGCTAGGGCTGTAGCCCTACTACTGTCACCGTCTTCTCCGGATGGTGAAGCCACTGAGGACATTGATACTGAGCCTTGTGTGTATTTGTAGTGGCTACCAATTCAGACACTTCAGTCATCTTTACATGTTTACTGAAAGAAGAAGAAACAAAGTGGCCTTGAATAGATTTATACCACTAAAAGTGCTCCACAGGACTTGATTCTGGTTTTTAAAAAAATTCTTCACAAGACATCCCAGGAAAAAATTGGGTAGTAAAATGTTTTAAAATATAAGAATCAAGGCTGGTTTAGCAGGGCATGGTGGTGGATGCCCTTAATCCCAGCACTCTGGGAGGCAGAGGCAGGCAGATCTGTGAGTTCGAGGCCAGCCTGGTCTACAGAGTGAGTTCCAGAACAGCCAGGACTACATAGTGAGACCCTGTATCAAACAAGAATGACAGAAAAGACTCTTTCCTAGAGAAAATGTGGGTCTGAGAGTAGTCCACATATGTGAAGGGTTGACACTGTATAGCAGGGGCTGAATTCAAATTGGAAGAAATCATGGGGAAGCAGATATCAGCTGACAGTTTCTCAAAGTAAGGGTTTTGGTGCTGTGACTTTTTATCTAGAGTTGCTTATTGTTTGTTAGGTTAGTGACCATATAAACTGTCATCACTGTATGCAGCTATTCCAGATTACACAGGAGGAAACAAAGGTCATGTGCCTTGCGTAGAAACACTAAGTTCCAAAAAACTTTCATTGAGGAAATTATGCTGGGGTTTTAAAAGACAAATACCTGAAAAGAGGTAGGATTTGACATGGATGTGATCTTGTTGATGAAGGCAGGAAGCACCGTGATGCACTAGGGAAGAGTACTAACTCACTGGAGGCTCAGGATAGCAAGGAAGAGGCTTACACTACACTGCAGGTCCTGAGGTCTGCATTTGAGAGTGGATACTTAGAAACAGGTCTCCCTCCGACTTTACAGTTCCACCTGAACCAGATCAGTGCTACACAAGTTACCTCACTCTTCTCAATCTGTGCTGAGCTTCTCTGCTGTAGCTTGAGAAAATGCCAGATTGCCCTCAAGAATGGTTGAATAACTAGAACTAGAGAGACTTCCTGCTCCTCGGCCGGAATGATGAAGCAGAACATTCAGTGTCCTCTGGCTTTCGTCTGTATGCGCATACACAGGCATGATGGGTATGTAAGACATTTAAGTAAATGTCTACCGTAGAGAATGTGCATATGAAGTGGTCATAGAGAGCTTACTGAGGGGTCACTTTGTCAAGAGGTGTGTGCAAAAAGAAGGGGAGCTGCGGCGATAAAAGCTACCAACAGTGTTTGAAATGGGGATGCGCAGAATGAAAGTGTTAATGTTGCCAAAAGGGTTTTTTTCCTTGCTTGTTTGTTTTTTAAGCATCAAGGTATAAAGAATGGGCAATGGGTTGATAATCAGGAAAACTAGAACTCAGGTTTTTCTTCAACAGATGTACTCTGCTTACCAAAAGTAAAATGACATAAAGTTTAAAACACACACACACACATACCACACAAACAAAAACAAAAAACTTTCCACCTGAAATTATTTTTAAGGCTGTTCATCCCATACCTTGTATCACACAGAAGTGCTCTCTGTTAATAACTGTTAGGACAGTCTGAGAAACCATGGAGGATAATTGTTAATTGGGCACAGTGTTCCAGTTTCAAAATGGATGTAGTGAGTGGCATTTAGCAATCTTGCTGAATAAAGCCCTGTGAACAAAATGAAATACTAGTTGTCTGTGTTGGGGAAGGTGTTGTTAGTTTTGAAAGTGGGTGAGAGCCTGAGGAAAAGCTGTTTCAGGACTCAAGCTGCTCACTGCTGGCCATAACTGATTGCTGTATTCATTAAAACAGCTTGGGTAGAACCTCTGCCTAGCAACCTTTTTAGCTGTGTTTGAAATTTTGTATGTATTTCCAAGTAATAAAACTATATTTGTAAAATCTTTCTATATTTGAGACTTATTACTAATTGCATAAATAATGTATTATGAATGTTTTACCTGGAATCTAGATGACCAGAGCCACTAGCTTTTCCAGATTCTGTCATTGTGCTTCGTTTGGCTGAGAATGGGACCTGTGAGTTCATGTGCAGATAACTCAAACCCGCCTTCAGCTGATGCGTCAGAGTACTCTAACACTGGAAAAGACAGGACTGTCCTTAAGATGGTGGGGGTTGGACTCTGGAATAGTGCTGCTTCAAGTTGCTTCTCTAAAGGCTTACCGCCCTCCTCCCCCTAAACACTCCTTGTCTAGCGAATTCCACTTGACTCAATGTGTAGGACAAGCGTCACCTTGTCCCTCGTAGTCTGCTTACCCACATTACAGACATCTGGGAAGAGGAACCTCCATTGAGACAGTGCTTCTGTGAGCCTGGCATGCAGGCCAGCCCGTGGCGCTTTCCTGATTAATGACTGTAGGAGGGCCCAGCCCACTGTGGGTGCTGTCCCATGGCCCTGGGTTGTATTAGTAAGCAGCACTCCTTCTTTGCCTCTGATTCAGTTTCTGCTTCAAGTTTCCTTCATAATGGACTATAAACTATAAGCTAAAACACTTAGCCCTTCTCTTGCCAAGTTGTTTTTTTGTTTGTTTGTTTTTTTCCTCAGCAATAGGAAGCAAGAAGACATTATTCCCTGCATTCCCATAGTCTTGTATAGCCTAGGTTACTCACAGCTGTATTTCTCCAATTTCCATTTGCATGCAGGTTATGAGGAAAGTAGAAGTGCCATCTTTCTGTTCCAGCTATGTGGTACACTAGACAAACTCAGCAAGTCTTAAGAGAAAAAAAAAAAAAAAAGCTAAAGTACAGGGCAAGTGAGTGAACAAAGCAGTTGAGGATAAGTTGTTCTTATAACTGGATTCTGATAGCAAATCTGCGAATCTCAATTATCTGATTTTGTCAGATAATACTATCCTACAAATGAGTCTGTCACCTTCAGTCCTACCTGCTAAGCCAGCTTTAAGTGCCAAAGACTGCCAAAAAATAAAGGTTCAATGCCAGTCAAGCTAGAGATGTATAACAGAACTATCTTTGGCAACACCATCTTGGGTACTGGACATTTTCTCCTAACTTGACATTTTCTGTTAAGATCTGATCCCAGTTTAGTCAGCCCTTTTTTAGGCAATTATGAGTTGACAAAAATGCTGTCTGTGGTTACAAAGCACCATATAGGTTTATCACTCAATAAACATGAGCTACTGTTTCCAGACTGAAGATATTTGTTAAATACAAATTGTTCCTCTCTGTTACGAAGCTAAATGACCAATGAAGGGATAAAATAGTAAAAAAGTGGTTATGATCACACATATCTGTTACAGTCTGAGTCAAGAAAAAATAGCCACCTTAGAGTAGGCACAGAAAGCTACACTCTTCTATCCATATGGTCCAGAAGTTGCTGTTATTCTGTCTCCTACTGTAATGGCTGGTTACTGACCTGTTGTTTCTCCAGATTCATCCACTTGTATCAAAGATCACTGCTTGCTGTTATGTGACAGGTCCTGTGAAGTTTACTAATGAGGACAGCTGTGACAGACAAGTTATATGTCTATTCTTGGTGCCCTATGGTAAATGTACATAAGTAGGGAAAAAACTTACATTGGAAGACTGGTGCTTTTTCTTGCTGTAATCACTACCCAGGAAAAAGAGCCAAACATGGCATCCCTGGGAACACACAGGAAAGGGGGCACATCATAATGAGCCTGATATTCTGATTTAAGACAAGCCATATCAGAAATTCTGTAAGATACAAAAAAAATTTCCTGATCATTTGAGACTGAACGGGAGCGTGAAGAACAATTTTGCAGGACGACAGATATAAATGAAGGCCTAAACTCACTATTCCTAAACAGACATTGCACATTTTCATGTTTGGGTATCATTCTCAATAAAGGTAAATGACTATCCAGCATTCATCAGTCACAGCCCCCTTCCTCAATAGCTGTCTGTTAAAATCATGTTAGCAATCATGTTAAAATCATGTTAGGTGGTTTTCCATGAAATTCAGAAAATCGTTAGGATATACCTTAAAAACATATGCCGCAGAAGATGAAATAGACGAATTTCTTGATGCATATGATCTATTCAAACCAAGATAAACAGATCTACAGACAGAAAGATGGAAATGAAAATAAAAATTTCCTAACCTAAGGAAACTGACCTCATACTAAGGAAACCGACCTCATAACAAAAGCTCTGAAATCCTCAAGAGAAGGCCCAGAGTGGTGGTGTAGGCCTTTAATCCCAGCCCTTGGGAGGCAGAGACAGGTGCATCTCTGCATGCCCCAGGAGAGTCAGTCTCTACATGGCAAGTTCCAGGCCCATCAGGGATACATAGTGAGACCCTTTCTCAACTATCCAAACCAAGAAAAGAGAAATCAAGGATGGCAAGTGAATGCTCATGAGTGGAAGAATCAATGTGAAAAAAGCTGTCATGCAATCTACAGATTTAATGCAGCCTCTGTCAAAATACCAATGCCGTTTTCACAGAAATGGAATGGAGCACAGTCTTAAAATTCATTTACTGTTAGACCTCTAAAGTCAAAGAAATCCTGAAATAAGAATGCTGACAGTCTCACCATAGCTGATTTCAAGTTGTGCTGCAGGAACCATACCGATAAAAAGCAGATGATACTGTCACAAACACATGTAGATAAACGGAGACAAAGGTAGGACGTATACTTCACGGCGCAGCCATAGGTCAGAACCTCGCCAACAGAACACCAATCCCTCCCCAATAGAACACCAGTCCCTCAGCAAACAAAGCCAACTGCCCTGCTGACAAAAAGGACCTCATGAAATTAAACAGCTTTTTGTACAGCAAAGGAAATAGTTAATTGAAGGCAGAGCCTACAGAAAGGGAAAAAATGTTTGCCATCTGACAGGACTTTGTTTCTTTTCTAGTGCTGAAGATTGAACCCAGGACTTTCTCACGCTAGGCAGATACTCTGCCATCGAGCCTTGTCCCCATCCTGTCTGACAGGATTAACATATACAAAGATCTCAGAAGGTCACATAGCTAATCAAAACAAAAGGGGCTAAGGAGACCATGCAGTTCTCAGAAGAAATGCAAGTGGCCAGTAACTTTTTAAAGTGTTTAGCACTCCTAGCTTTCAGGAAAATACAAATTAAAACTAAAAGATTGTCCCTCACCTCTGTCATAAAAACAAAGGACAAATGCTAGGGAAAGTGTGTGAAAGAGAAACCCTTATTTACAGTTAGTGGCACCAAAAAGCTAAAAATAAAATTACCATTTAGTCCAGCTATACCACTCCTAGGTATATGCCCAAAGGACCATGAGTTGTACTTGAGACACTTGCTTCTCCATGCCAGTTAGTTCTTTGTTCACTGTAGAAAGAAAATGGAATTAGCCTAGATGTCCATCAACACATGAGTGGATAATTAAAATGGGGTACACATGCACAATGGAATTGTATTCAACTGTTAAGATGAATTTCAGCCTGGTGGTGAATTTCTCTGCACACCTTTAATCCTAGCACTTCGCTGCAGGGGCAGGTGGATCTCTGAGCTTGAGGCCAGCCTGGTCTACAGAGCAAGTTTCAGGACAGCCAAGGATATACAGAGAAACCCTGTGTTTGAAAAGAAAAAGAAAAGGGAAAAAAAGAGGCAGTAATCTTTTATGAAGAAGACTCACAGAGAAAAGAAAGGCAACTAGTGTTTCTTTCCATTCTTATAGAGATGCTATTTAGTGGCGTAAGTGTATGAACTTTGGGATTAGAAACATGAGTTCAAATCCTGTCAGATGTGTCCCTCTAGGCATCAGCCTAATCCCATTCTCTGCTTGCCCAACAAAGCCTTTGCACTCATTCAACTACATCCTATTCCAATACTAGTCTGCCCAACTATAACTTTCTTAGGTCCTGTGATGATTATTTAATACTGCCAGCTCGACAAGATCACTGACAAAATGATGACCCGGGCTTCTGGGATGCCTGTGAGGGAATTCTAGATTAGGTTAGTCTGTGCTGCACCATGGGTCCCGGACTACATGAAGACGAGAAATCTGAGCACCTGCATTCATCACTTCCCAATGACAGATGCAATGACAACTGCCTCAAGCTCCTGAGACTGAGGCAAAATAAACCCATCTCCTCAAGTGCGTTTGTTAGTTACTCTTTCCAGCAACAAGAAAAGTAACTAATGTAGACCCCTACTAGTCCTACCATCCAACTGCAAGACAGTAGGGCTTTTTAAAAATAAAAATTCCCTAGGATTTTTGCTGTAACAGAGAACCTGGATCTTTCTTCCAGATCAGGACTTTTAATCTGCCAAGGGGAAATGTCTTCACATCCAGATTCTGGAATCTTTATAGCATTCAAGTGCTGGGTGTTACTTTCCAGATTTCTTGTCTCGAATCTTGTATCCCTGTTAATGGCAAATGTGAGCACTGCACAAAGATTTGCTATGTCCTAGCTACCGCACATTCTATTACACACTTCCAAAGTTAGGACTCACATACTATGGCCTCTCTATTCAATTGTTCTAACAAATGACAACCATAAAAAAAAAAAAAAAAAAAAAAAACCCAAAGAAGCAGATGTCTGTTCATATCCCAAATGAAGCGTATAGTCTATTGGAGAGGTCTTTCTATCGTTAAGGAGAAAATTTCAACTCGGAGGAATTACCCATGGGTGAAAGTGCACAGAATCCATTAGGAAACAGATGACCATACCAACCTAAACTGCGGAGGTCCTGGGCATTAAAGGTAAATTCCGTGGGTTTTCTCAATTGGGTTTCCAATAAATGTTTATGGAATGAGTAACCATCACAAAGTAGGCATTCAGTGTTAAACAGGAGGATCTCACAAATGAGAGGTGAGAAAAGAAGACAGCTACACTAAATCTACCAAAAGTTTCAGCCAGTATGAGCAACATTTCTGGCAACAAAGGAGAAACGAGCAACTCAACAGGTTTCAACAGTTCCAACTGAAACAAAATACCATCAGTTCCTTTAGACCAGTGTTTTCAACCTGCGGGTTGTGACCTCCTTAAGAGTTGAACAACCCTCTCACTGGGATTGCCAAAGACCATTGGAAAACATAGATGGTTACATTTATGATTCATATCAGTAGCAAAATTACACTTATGAAGTAGCAACAAAATAATTTAATGGGGGGCTCACCATAACATGAGGAACAGCATTAAAGGGTCACAGCATTAGAAAGGTTGAGAACCACTCCTTTAAACAAAGAATTGCTATATTTTAGATAGCTATAGTCACTCCTGTCTGTTTACCTCTAACTGGCTTAAACTGTACATTGAATTCCTTGTTTTCTTGGTTACTAATGTCTTGATTTTTCCTATGTCATTTTGTTTCACGCCACTCCTTCCTCACTTGAAGCTGACAGCCCTGTTCCATCAGGCATATTCTTCCTTACCTGCTGTTGAGCACAACTCCGCAAAGCCTTCCTACTCATTTCGTTATTCCTTCTCTGAAGCTTCTACTGCTGTGTCCATCCTTTTCCTGGTGTCACCATGTTTTGGTGTGCCTTACCTGCTTTAGGTAAGTGCATGGCTTATTGTGATACAGTCTACAGGTCTATCTTTCTGTACATGACACTAGCATTCAACACACAACAGGGATTCAGTTTAGTGTTTGTCAAATGGGTGAATTTTATTGCATATTTCCTTATTCAAGCACCACTCAGCAACATAATAAATGACAAACCAATTCAGGAAGTATTGAATTTTGCAGAAATCCTCACCATTGAGTCTTTCCTGTCCATACCTAAAGTTCAACAACAATGTGAATCACTCCTTTGAGGCATTTAGCTAATGGAATCTACTAACACAATTTATTAACATCAAAAGGAAAATCTCAAAAAGTCGAGAAGTGTATACAAAAAAGCAAACTATTGAGTGTCTCGCTCAAATAAGTGTGTAAGGGGCTCACGGGCCGACAGAGCGCCACTTGCTGCTGATGGGGGGTCCTCGTGCTTTTACTGCAAGGAACAGGCGGTGAGACTGATACAGTTTGGAAGGTTAAGAAATTGCATCTAATTTCCTCTTCTTAAAGCAATTTGTGTTCTTACATTTCTTCCCATTTTGCCTGATTTGGACCATTGAGTTGGCCTGACCTACAAGCTTCAGCAGGCAGCTTGACATAGCATAAGAAAACCTTGGTAAAAGTACATGGAGGATCCTCCCCACCACACCCCAAGTCATTCTCTTAGATCTGATACAGAGTAGCTTTGTGATCTCGGGCAAATCATTTTGCCCTTGACATTTTTTATGTTTTTATTCCAATATATTTGTTGGGTTAATATTGCACAGATGTATGTGTGTCACAAACTAGTTTCTTTGAAGGTAGTAGCGTAGATACACAACTCTTTTACTATTGACTTTAACACTCTAGAAGTTTTTCTGTGAAAGGGTGCCAAGCTGCTGAATACAAACAGAACCGCTTACTAGAAACATGTGTTAATAAGAGTTATAAAACAGAGTTGGATGTTTTTAATCCCAGCACTTGAGAGCTGACAGCAGGACTGCAAGTTCAAAACCAGCCTACACTATCAGTAAAGTCTGTTCCAGAAAGCAAAAACAAACTCCACATACAGAATCTGAATGTGTGTTATTACTCTGGGCCAGAGAGGAAGCACCCTTGCCTTGTCAGATCTCTAACTACTTGAGAATGTCATCAGACATCAGTAAGCACCTGGGAGCCACAGCCACATTCTGCTCTGTGAGGAGAAAGCACTGTATGCACAAGGAGGACCTTGCCCGAGGCTGTCACTCCTTTATCCATGTGCTGTCAGTGAAGGGCTTCTGGGACTCTTCTGAGAAATGCCTTTTCTAACAACTCAAAGGAACGCTTGGCTTCTGGGCTTTTACTGGAAGGTAGTGTGCTAGGTGTCTGTAGTTCCGTTTCCTACTTGGAAACAGTAGGTGTTAACAGCAACCAGTTCTCACGGCAGAAAACATAAGAGTATGAAAGGCAGACCGGCAGAAGGACATTTGTGGAATTTCAGGGTCCCTGCACTAGAAGTCCGGCCAGTTAGAGGCAGCTTTCGGCATGCTTGCTTTCTAGGCATGTTAAGTCCCTGGCTCCTGTGTGTGAGTCAAGAGAGTTAAGCCAACAGAAGACACAAAATTAAGATGGGAAGAGAGCAGGGTCAAACGGTATGGGGGAACAGTCTGTGGCCAACACAGTGGATGTGGCTTTTCTTATTTAACATGCAATTCTTTACTGGCAATCCAAAAGCTGATGTTCAGAAATAGGCTGTTACCTATACCCTGCTGTGCCTGCATGGCTTCCCAGGAGCATCATTTAAAGAGTAATGATTCATTGATTCTAAAAGCAATGAGAGACCTGTTTTAAAAGTACTTTAAATTATATAAAACACTTTAAGCAATGATCATAACCTCGGATATAAACCAGAGTGTAGGGGGTGGGTTGGATCCCCAGCACTCATAGTTTACACTTGAGGAACGGTGCAGTGCCGTGTTCTGCCATAGCCACGATTAAGGGCAGGCTGCGGACACCTAGTGAGGCCAGAAGACAAAGAAGCAAGTGAACAGTGTGGGTGGCTGTCCGCTGGCCCACAGCCTCTGGGCTCCCAGTGAGGCACAGTTGACAGAGCAGGCTAAGCATCAACACACAGCCCCATCCTGGCTTCCTGGCTTCAGAACTGAGTGACTCTGCGAATTACTGAATTCCTGAGGCCCAGTTACACTATCCTCAAATGCCTGGTGGAGTGCCTGGCAGACTGCTTGGTACACACCACTTTTTCTGTAGGGAAGGGTGTTTTCTGAAAACTGAGAGTGTTAATCTATTTGTAGACTGAGAGTGGTTTAGTAGGTTGAAACTAGCATGTTGAAAACAAAACATCAGAATGTATTGCATATAATGGTAAACATTTCTCATGTCTATATGTTCAATTTTAATATACTTTTTACTGTGGGTTACACTAAAATTTCATTGGAATTCTTGGATTATAACATCAAAAACAGTCTTTAGGAGTACCGGCATTATTGAAATGAGTCTTTGCAAACTTTAAGACCTTAATTAAAGTAGTTCTTTTTAACTGGTTGGAATAAAAATAAGACATAAATCATAGAAAAGATAAATTTAATTAGACACTATAGGGCATATTAAATTCAAGTTTAAGATCACTTCTGTGTCATATTGATTAAATGACACTTTTAAGTACTTTATTTCATTTGTAGTTGATTAAACACTTCTAAGTAATTTCCACAAAAAGTTAGCTATTAGGTTCTACTGTGGAGAAAGGAAATACAATTTCTAAATAACTTTAAAGTATAATAAAATTTTAAAGAAGACTGTACCTTCCTTAAGCACGGAGACAGCTAGAGTCAAAAGCCCAATACTGATAGTTCATGGCCATGTCAACAGTTCCTCCACTGGTTCAGCAAAAGTGCAAAATCCAGAAGGTGTGAGTTTCACATACAGGCCTCACTACTGGTTCTTTTGAGTTCTTTGTGCTGTGGCTGTGGCACCCTGCTTATGGCACACTGACTGAGTGGCCCTTTTGGGATTGGCAGAATTGAGTATTAAGCAAAGAGGAAGATAAAGTAGAATACGAGAGATTAAAAGAATTAAATGGCATTGCTTATTCTTGTAATTCCAGCTAAGCAGGCTGGGTTGGCTGTGGCCAACCTGTGGCCAAGGTTCAAGAATCTAGTTTTAGCCAGGTATGGAGGCACACCTTTAATCCTAGCACTCAGGAGGCAGAGGCAGGTAGGTCTCTGAGTTCGAGGTCAGCCTGTTCTATAGAGTTCCCCGAAAAGGCAAATCAGGGCTACACAGAGAAACCATCTTGAAAAATGAAACAAAAGAAGAAAGAATGTTGTCTTAAATAAAATATGGATGAGTTCTGCCCTGCCCTCCTCAGGTATGACATGCTGTCTTAAAGGAGCAGCAAGAGCTGGAGAACAAGTATGAAGTTAAAAGCAATTACTCCAAATACTTAATGCCCAGTGTCAGGCAGTGTTTCAGGATCCACATTTACTTGATACTTCCCAGTCATTTAAGAAGATGTAGTGCTTTGTTTCATAGGAATACACTGGTCAGACACAGAACATGGAAGGGAAGGATTTTGTGGCCCAGAAGGAAATGTAGCAACCAGTAGAGGTCAAACATCAACTCAGCTCTTAAAAGCAGCTAAGTGATGAACCCTTTGGCCCTCGAACCTGTGCTCCTGGCTGGTCGTGCACTCTCTTCAGGAGAGATTAAAGAGTTGAGGCGACCAGTAGCCCCTTCTTATTTCCAATGAGCTAGGATTCGGGGTGAGGCTGCCTTCAGTCTTAAGTTCCTTTCTCTAGATCTCAAATCTTCTCGTTTGAGACAGACATGGAGCTGGACTGGAGCATGCCTGCTGTCCATGTGAACTTTTGGGTTAGCACCACAGAGCTTTCCTTGAGTCTGAATCTTGGCCTTGGCCATCTAGAACATGAGAGAAGTTAAGCTTGAACACTGGAAGAACAGCGGCAGAGGCAGGAGGGAGAAGGCTGGGGAAAGGGCAGCAGTAACAGAAGTGAGGTAGAAAGCTCCTTCTTGCCCCCCTCCGAGAAGGCTGAGGGGCCCAGACCCCTTGAGACAGGTATGCCAGACTCCTGAAGTTCTAAAATGCTCCATGATATATATAGCCTTTACACTCCTCTCCACCCAAATAATGTTGAAAGTACTTAAATTTTCTTTTTCAACATAAGAGATTAAGCTAGAGATGGAAAACTAGATAAAAAGGCAGATTGTGAAAAAAATCCTCATAATACAGGTAGAATTCACCCTAGAAGCAGAGAGCTTTCAGGATCACCAGCTGGAAGCGGCTTGGTGGCTGGTCTGGTGGGTCCAGCATGGGAGGGGCTGACTTCAGAAAAGATACCTATGTCACAATGAGGAGACTGTGAGGAGAAAGTGGGCTTCTCTTTCTATTTTATAGTATTAATCTCCTTCCTCAGAAAATATAGATGGATCCAAGTTCAGCCAGCCCCCAAGTACACAAGTAGCTCACCGGTGTCCCTTGTTAGGCAGCAACATTCCCACCGGACAGAAAGACTCCTGCACTCATATTCTTGGAGAAATAATCTACAAATACACTGACCCTCAGCTGTCCAATACATTTCTACACATCTTATAGTTATGGGTTCAGTTTTCACATTTGCAGGCAGAACACTTGCTCTTTGGCAGTCTTTAAACTTGACCTGACAGACAGCACACACCCTCAGCCCAGGCTCCTCCCCTCCACCATCTCCATTAACACCCAGGAAACAAATCGTCCTCTATGGTGGTTCACTGCCCCAAGGACATGGAGAGCCGCTTCCTAGCACTGTTCCAGCGGCGGCGGCAGCAGCAGCGAGGTGACCTCGCGCCAGCCGGAAGCCTGGGCTTTAACTGCATTTTTTGTCACTTTGGTTAGGGAGATCTGGACAGCTGGAAGTGAGCTTCTCCATCATTTTCTGTTTCCTTCTTTGTATCAATTTTCCACCTGTGAAGCCCAACACCCCACCACCAAGTGCAGCTGCAATTCCTGCCACTTTGAAGCCTGCGAGGAGGCCGATGGGACCCCCCACCACTCCTCCGATGAGTGCACCTGCCACAGGCAGAGCTGCCAGCTTGTATTTTGCAGCCTGTGAAAAAAAAAGAAAAATTCAATTTAAAAATTGAGTTGAGAAAATTTGCCTGTGGTGATGTGCGTCTTCCTTTCATTACTCCTGGCAATGCCTCTTTAACTCTGGATTCCTAATTAACCTCAGATTATTCTTGGATGCATGTGCATGTGTGTATTCTACAGGTACAGCCATTGCTCCAGACCCCAGAACTAAGGGGGAAGGGGTGTGGTCCGGAGTGGACTGTACTAATTGATTTCACTTTCGAAACAATCAATCCACTATCAGGCTGGCTCATTTAAACAGTTTCAGCAGCCCCTGGCTCCCACCAGAGCTTTGATTCCACACTAGGCACCTGGGCTGAAAATCACTTCATGTGGATAATAGATGGCCACACTCCTCCAGTGCTGCTGCAGTCTCATACTTTTGCTCTGCCTGGATTCATGGGTGGCTCTCTCTTCTCCCTAGGCCTCTGCAGATATTCCTTCATAACAACTAAATGCCCTAGATTGAGTTCACAGTTCTTTGGGGGGAAAAAAAAACTGATGATAGAATGAATCTGGGAGAATATTACAGCCATTGATTTCTTACACTACCTCTGTGTCACTTCTTCCTGATTTCCTTAATTGCTGGTTCCCTCAACACTGAAGAGAGCAGATCAATTGGGTTAATACTGGAGATTCCTGGGAGCCGGAGTACCATTGATTTGTCAGCAGGAGCAGAATCTTACCTTCCCCAAGTTTTTGGTTCCCTCTTCAACATTCACAGCAGCACTGTTGACATGGTCTGCAATGCTGTCAATCTTCTCCTGCTGAGACTAGATGCAAAGGAATTATGAGTGAGCAGTCCTGCTGGGGAGCAGTGGGAAGCCAACACACACTATTTTAATTCCTGTAATCAGGCCCCGGGTACTGCAGCCTTGCAGTCTTCATAGTGGTTCATTAATAGCAGCTGATAAACCATTTCGAAAGTACAAATTCACTTTCACGAAAATAGAGGGGAACTTAATGATTGGGTAATAAAAGGGTGGCACCTTCATAGCAAAAAGCACCTCACACTGGAGTTCATTCAAACATACAAACATGTTATTCTCCAAATGAACCTACTTTGTAGGAGGAAAAATATCAAAATAAGCATTTACATGTCAAGTTGGGTTTGATAGTTTAAAAAAAAAAAAGGAGGAAAACAAATTCAAACAAACAAAAAGTTCATAACTTATCTTTGGAGATTCTGTTTAAATAAAATTTACCTTAGGAGTAAAATGTCTTTGATGCAACAAATACTAATTGTTTTTGTTGTTGTTGTTGTTAGAACTACACTACAATTCAGTGTAATCCAGCCTGAAATCTTTGCACTTTTGATATGCAATAGGGAGCAATCTGTGGTCTTGAGTTTTACTAAAATATTTCAGATCGATACTATTAATACAGCAGTCTATCTAAAACAGCGACACCTGTTCAGACACAGCAGAGATCATGGCTCCTAGGATCCCTGATGGCTCAACAGTGTGGCTGGGGACTGCCATTCTAGGTTTAAACTCACCTCAGTGTCATTCATGAGTGGCTACTAAGCTCTGCTCAGACACCTCGGTCACAACCAACCTGTCATTGCCCTGGAAACAGGATCACATCAAGATCAACTTTACTTAGTAATATACATACATACACATATATAGACATATACATATATGTGTATATACATATATCTACTATATACATATATAGTTAGTTATATACAATAACATGCACCCATTTTGATGGTGGAGTAGGTTCTGACCAGTATAGAACCATGTAATCACCATGACTATCAGGGCACAGGCAATTTCTTTCACTTCTGAATTTGCAGAAAAATATAGAATTTCCCTCTCATTCCACAGTGAGTGAGAAGTAATTCAACTGTCTTAGATGCTAAACTGATTTAGATGGAGGCCCTCATACCCAACACTTATTTCAATCAGCATTTCATGTGAGAATGAATGTAAGTACAACATAGCTCACTGAGCCCCCATCTGGTTCCTATTAGCATTATTGATATTCTTTCCCTGCCCAACATGCGCCTTCTCTCTGCCAGGCCATTTGTGGTGGCCCTTCATTCCAAGATTCTCCGCCACCATCCTGATAGCTGTAAAAATTCCTAAAATAGTCCCTCTTCAGTTTTCTTTTGAACCTGTCACACAAGTGTATCCAACACTCTCAAACTTGAGAACACACTAGATCACCTGAAAAGCTTCTAAAAATGCTGGACCTGCCACCTGGCTTTGATGTGACAGTCCTGAAATACAGTTTGAGAAATTATTTGTGTGTGTGTGCATGTGTGTGTGTTGTCATCCAGAAGAGGGCATCAGATCCCCTAGTGCTAAAGTTACAGGAGGATGTGAGCCACTTGTTATGGGTGCTGGGAACCAATCTCAGGCTTCCTGCAAGAGCAGTATGTGCTCTTAACTGCTGAGCCATCTCTGCAGCCTCCCACTTCACACACTTATTATCTGTGATAAGACTGGCACAAAACCTAGGTCTGCATATTCTGTGTTCAGACCCCAGCACTGTCCTGGTATGTCCTTGAGCCAAGCACATGAGGACAATGGTACTTCTACTTCATAGAGTTAAGAGAAGGATACAACGAGATGTCTGCAAAGCACATGGGATAACAGAAGACCCATCCTGGATTTCCCTCTTGCATTTCTAGTAAAAATGTTTAGTGACCTTGTTCCTATGATAATGCTCTCAGATAATAGATCTATGGGTTTTAAATTTTATGACAGGAAAGCTTCTTTAAGTCAGCTTTCTTCTTAGCCACAGAAGTAAAAGGGCCAGCACCAATAATTTCCAACTGGACTGGATTCCTGACACCTTAGCATTACTTCTGTTTGGGATATACCCAAGGCTTCTACTCTTGCTTGACACAGTCTATGCTAGCAGATAAGCCACTTCAGGAAAACAGTATCATCAACTTTTACATCTTTATAGGCTAGAGTAGAGGGCAAAGAGTTCCTTTCCCTTAGGCTGAGGGAGGAGTCTGCCAGAGCTATTGCTATGTCCACATTCCAAACGACACAGGATATCAGAAAGATATATTTTCTGTGCCCCTTCCTAAAACTTTGGATACTGCAACACTATGACTGCCTTAGTCACTGCTCTGCTGCTGTGATGAGATAACATGACAATACTAAGTCTTATAGAGGAAAACGTTTAACTGGGGGCTTGCTCACAGTTTCAGGTGCTTAGTCCATCATCCATGGCAGGGAGCAGGCTGATGGGCAGCATAGTGTCACACACAGTACTGAAGAATTAGTTAAGAGCTACATCCTGATGTAGCCAAGGGATAGAAAATGAGCCTGCCATGGGCTTTTGACACCTTAAAGCCAACCCCCAGAGATACACTTTCTCCAACAAGACCACACCTCCTAATCCTTCTAATCCTTTCAAGGAACTCCACTCCCTGGTGACTAAGCATTCAAATATATAAGCCTATTAGGACCATTTTCATTTAAACCATCATAATGACCTTTTAAAGTTTAAAGTAGAATACTAAGATAATGAGTTTTTTTTCCTATAAAAATCCTTTGGAATAATTGGATTAAATACCACCAGGAAAATGCCCATTACTCATTATTTCAACTGTAATGCATTCATCACTGCAACTACCAGCCCAAGATGAGTCCATCTATCCTGGGGTAGTAGCAAGAACTACAGAACGTGTGAAGTTTGCTTAAACATGGGGCTAGGATAAGGCAGAGAGCAGAAAGCCTTGCCATGGGATCAACAGGCATTCCTCAACTATACAGACCTAGCTGCTTCTTCCCTTTAGCTTGGCCTCAGTCCTCCAACTATCTATCTTCAGATCCTACTTCATGAATAAGGAGGACTTTGTGATATTTATAATGATGGTATTTAGCTGTCAATCACAATCGGAACGCCAAACTACACTGCATTTAGAACTCAGTCCTTAGGTTTTCCCCAGGCCAACCTGTACATGTATAACCTACCATGGTCTATGAAACCAGGCTTCTGCCAGTGGTGGAGTGGGGCCTCTTTGCTTCTGATTTGTTTAAGTCTTATCTATTGGTTTAAGACTTTATCTACTTAGATTTCCCACACTGAACAGTCTTCACCCTCCCCCTGCCTGGCATTTTACTCTTTGGCACTTAAAAGTGTTTTCAGCATCCCCATAACAATGAACTAAGCCCTTTATAAGGCACACTACACAGTGTTTATCAAACTAACATACACATCCCATTTTACAGAAGAGAAAAATTCAAAACTCAAAAAATATGCCTATGAGTTTCATTTTAAGGAATATTGAATTAGGTTGCCCTATTGTCCTGAAAACAGCTAAATCTGTATAAGCAGTTATAGGAGAAAAATGTGAATTATTTTGTTAATAATAATTGAGAAGAATTCAAGTTGGATAGATGAATTAAAAACTAATGAGAAATCATTTTTCCCTTGAATGCTTGCTGTGGACACTTGTCAGCCCAGCATCAAAGAATATTTCATGTTATCATAAAAACAATAATTCACTCAACAAACTCATCCTCGAATTCATTCACATCAACAACAATGCTCTTTCTTAGAGAGGCTGTTGCACAGTTTTACTAGTGTACATGAAGTTGAAACTATGAGTTTAAGACAATCCCCAAACTGCAGCTATTTCCCTTTATTCCTCCCTAAGTTCCAGCCATAACCATATGCAGACACAGAAACAGGCTCAGAAACAGAAATGTGACACACAGGCAAAGTATGGCTCTCTTGGCCTAGCAAAGGCAGTAAGCAGGGTAGGGAAGCAGGAACAGTGCAGCGGGAGGGACTGAAGGACTCGAATACTGGCAAGACAGAGGGAATGATGCTGGGGACGGAGGTAAAGGTAATGTAAAGAGCCAAAGCAAAGTTGCAGCAACAGCTGACGCAGATGGGAGGGAGAGGATGAGAGATGTTGTCTGAGAGGGTCCTCTCATCAGGTATGCAAAACCTTCTGCCGTCAAATACCATGCTGACACTCACAGAGACCATGTAAGAAGAAAGCTGACTGAAGCCACTGGATCCTATGCTAGTGCAGCCAGAACAAGACTGGATTTCAGGATCCACACAGAAAAAGATAAAAGACATAATTCAAAACAGACCCAGCAGTAAGGATAACATCTTGTCCAGCTTCTGGCCAAGAGTTCTTTCAGTTGTCCTTGACTAGAGAGAAATAGGGCTGGACACAGGAAAAAGGATCTTGCACAAACAGAGCAGCAGGTACTTTAAAGATAGTAATACACTCACACTTACTGGCCTATACTGTCGTCTCCCATTATCTTAGCAAATCCCTGTTCCATGCACACTGCGTGTACAGCTAACATTGTGAATGACTTCTAAGTGTACACATTTGTGGCATTTTGTTCACAACGCAGAGGCATCATCACCACGACACGACAGGACCTTTCAATTCCTACAGAAGGTGCTCCTTAACTGCACGATTAATTTGCTCAGACACAGTCATATCCATGTGACAACAGAGGATGTGGTCACTCTTGGTCCCCTGCTTATTCTGTGCCTAAATGGAGCATTTATGAATCCGTGGCCATGCGTCAAAAAAACGCTCAATCATCCTGGGAATAACAATCGTTCTTTGAACTTCTTCCAAATAGTATTGTGCCTCATGTCCTTGTGATAATAACTAGGACATTTGGATGCAGCTATGGTTGTGGCTGGAACCTTGTGTGTAAGTCCTTCTGAGACTGGAGAACTGCTTACTACATAACATAAGTGAACACACAACTGTTAATTCTCCACAAACTTTATTTTTTCTTTCATATGCCTTCCCACTAAAAGAAAAATGCATTTGTCTTGAAAAGAGCTAAGTACATCTTTAGTTTGTTCTTTAAATCAACCTTAGTGACACATAATTTAAATGTATTGAAATGCATTTAAGTGTACAGATTGATGGCTTTGGCAAATGCATTTATTATGTAACCATGCACACACAGATTGTATACTCTATATTAGATTGGAAGATTATTAATTACAATAACTAGATAGATCTTGAATATAAACAACACATGTTTGGGGGGTCCTATTTATTCCCTGCCATCTGCAAAAAATAACAAACACCTAAGCCAGAGCTTGTAAGATTTTTTTCTTTTGACTTAGAGGCATCAGAATTAATTCAAGCAATTAAATGCTTTCAATTATAGTCATTACAGTTCAAGGAAAAATACATAAGACAGAATATAAGAATAGGGCAACAACAAACAACATAGAAATCATTTATACAGGAGAGCCACAAAAGAAGAAAGAGTTCCTAAGAAATGAAAATATGTTAAGGTAGGTCAAAAGAAATAAGAACAGTTGTCTCAAAAACCTTGAAAACCACTTATACCGAAAGAAGACAAACCCATTCTGTTATGCGGCTCTAAATGCCAAAAGTGCCCAAAGTGCCCAAGGGGAATTAGATGACAAAGTTACACAGGAAGAGCTTCCACCCTCTCCTACAATCTTCAAAAGAATGGCTGAGACATCACGTGTCCTGACCCCATAACTGTTAAAAAATCAGAAGGTTAGTGTGGGGGAATCTGGAGCAGGCTGCAGCTAGATTAGCAAGCTCTGGAAGGATACAACTCTCTGAAGCTGTGGTCTAGGAGTTTCCACCTCAAAGCCAGGCCTGAGGGAGGCCATACCTCAGAAGAGATAGATCCTAGTCAATCCCTGGCTTGATCAAGAACAAGTAACTAGCCTAGCCAGAGTACAAGGCGAAATGGCTTTGTACTTGGGCAAACACATATTCACGTATGTGCCCATACACCCTAACTTTCTATAATTCCTGGGGAAAACACACGGACAGTGCAGAAAAATAATGATGTAAAAGCTATCTTTCCTCCAAAACTGCAATGTGCTCTCTAATCTATGACAACAGATTCATTCAGGCCTATAACAAAGAATATAAATATAAGGTTTCCTGTCTTTGACGTCACCTTCCTCCAGGTTGATCCTTAACTAGTCTTTGGGCCTCCTTATATTATATAGGTAGCTGTTACCACTCTACCTACAGGTTAAGTTCTTGCATCTGGTTCCTAACTAGTCGCCCTACCCATACCTCCTCTTTACCATTAAAACAGTCTTTCCAAGGCACAGACTGGATTGCAAGAGTTTTGTTTGATCACATGTAAGTACAGGCTCCTTCAGGCCCACAAAGCGACCCAAAATTCAATACCAGCACAACTTGGCCCTCATTATCCTTGCTTGCCCCTGGTAGTGCAGGCTTTGAGTAACAGGTACATTTTGTACTCTTGGACAGTCCACACAGCTTGCAATGTCTTGTCCTGGTTCATGGATTCTGAAGTGTGCCCCCTGTGGTCCTCTATGAGCATTTATTTACTCATTCTTCAAGGCTCATGTTAATGCTAGCTCTGCAAAAATAGCTTTGATGCTGCTATTTCATACACGACACCTCCCCTGCTGGAATATAATGCTTCTTCTTGGAGCTGATGAGGCTTCTCTCTATACCTTACTTTTTTGTTTTGTTTTTTAATTTATTATTTTTAAATGTATTATAAATTTTTTATTTATTGCAATTTATTCATTTTGTATCCCAGCTGTAGCCCCTTCCCTCAGCCCCTCCCAATCCTACCCTCTCTCCCTCATGTCCTCCCATGCCCCTCCCCAAGTCCACTGATAAGGGAGTTCCTCCTCCCCTTCCATCTGACCCTAGCCTATCAGGTCTCATCAGGATTGGCTGCATTGTCTTCCTCTCTGGCCTGGTAAGGCTGCTTCCCCATTAGGGGAAGGTGATCAAAGAGCCAGCCACTGATTTCATGTCCGATATAGTCCTTGTTCCCTAGATTTACAATTTAAGGACCATCTCATAGTTCAATCCAGGCGTGGTAGTTAAGAGCACTTGCTGCTCTTGCACTGGACCCAAGTTAGGTTCCCAACACCAATATAGCAGCTCAAAACCACCTGGAAGTATAGTTTCAGGGCATCCAATACCCTCTTCTGGCATCAGTGGGCATCAAACACACAGGCATTGTACATTCATACAGGTAGGCAAAGCTCATAGACACAAAAGCAAATATTTTTTTAAAAATATGTGACTTCTACTGAAATTCTAATTAAAAGGGCTGTGACTGATCAGTTCTGAGCCCCAGTTAAATACTTACATTCACTAGGAGGGAGAAATCAGTGACCAGATGGCTAAGTTCAATTAAGTCCTTAAAAGAGAGAAAGAAAGAGAAGAAATTACTTACTTTTACATCTCACAGTTACCAAAAAGAAAATATGTTGAACATACCGCTTCTAAGGTATCCCAGGATTCAGCAGCATCTTGGTCTCGAGGAATTTCAGGCAAGGCGTATGTCTGAGTCAGACTCTGAGAAGCAGCTTCGGCCTCCCCAGCGTGGAGCACGCCTGGATGAACACAGACTTGGTTAAGGTTTGCTTCTCAGGAAGGACAGAACACAAACTAGCTCCACAAGACAACCAGCATACAGAAGGTTGCAATTCAGTTCAGGCTTAAGGTAAATGGATCCGTCTATAAAAACAGCATCATGTACCCTCGGGCAGCCTCTTCTTTAAGTGGTTAGACCTACACACACTCTCCGTGCCATGGAATGAAAGGGTGAGAGGTGGAAGAGGTGGCAGAGGGAACTGCTACCCTCCATGTTCTGTCACCGAATCCTTACGCCGGGACTTTGCTATTTCAGTAATAAGGATCACACAACAGCTGTCAACAATTGAAAAGTGGGTGCGTAAGATGAGTCAGCCAGTAAAGCATTTGCAAACCTGACAACTTGAGTTCAATCTTGGAACCCACAGACAGATGAAGGAGAAAACAGACACCACAAAGTTGTCCTCTGATTTCCTTACACACACCACAATTCATACATTACACACACACACACACACACACACCAATAAATACGTAAACATATAACTTTAAAGTAGGAAAGCTCAATGGGGCTTAGCACTTTGGCAGACTAGTGAAGTAGAAAAGTGATGTAGTTATGTGTTTGTAGCAATTAATATCAGTCTCCACTGGTGACAATTCTGCTAGTAATGAGCACATCTGCCATCTGAATATTGTTGAACATGCTGAAACTGCTTAGAATCACTCTTCCTCCATGTACTTCCATGGTTTCTTCTACTTCTTTTCTAGTTCTTACAAAGCCTTCAACACACAAAACTCTTTATTAAGCATTACTGTAATAACAGAGCACTTTGCACTACACACAACCACTTTTACGTTTTTCTGGGTCTTCGTGGTGGTTTTACCAACCTTTCATTCATGAAATTCATACCTGTTGCACACCTAACAGACACAGTTTTTATACCTACCCTAACGCGGCTGTTAGCACTGTGGGTTTGGTCAGAAAGACCAGTGTTAGAACCCTGGTTTGGAGACTTGCTGTTCCTGCTTGTAAAGTGAGTTGCTATTAACTTAGCATAGACTCTGTCCCTGCTGCTGCCACTGTCACTGTTGCTATCAGAACAGAGCTTCCATGGGACCTGAGGTACAGACATCTAAATGTCAAGTTCTGTCAGCACTATCTGACAAACTATGCCAGAGTGAGGATGATGTGCCACATGTGTGTAGGGCAGGCAGGAAATCCTGACTGTGCAGAGCGAAGACAGGGGTTCTGAGGGTGAAGCCTAAGGCTGAGAAAATGAGACAGGTGGAGTGGGATGAGTACACCCAGAGTGTCTGACTCAAGGAGAACAGTGTGTTCACAGGCTTGAAATCAAAAGATGTCCGGTCTAGCTGCTGCATGGCTGTGCTCAGGAAGGAAACAAAGGCTGAAGCTGACAGGCTAAGGTGAGGCTACCTGAAGGTATTGCAAAGCTTTTCCAAGAGCCGTGTCTTTCTCACATGATCATTACCAAACTGTTAAGAGGAACTGAAGACCACTGGGAAGTTGGAAGATGCCATAATCAGACTATAGCCATAGCGTGAAGAGCAAATTAAGGATAAAGTTGGCAGGTGAGAAAGTTAAAGAGTAGAGCCCAGTTGAGGGTTTACAATATATCCAGTGCAAAATGACAGTCTTCAGCCCTACAACAGAACAGTGATGTGTCGAGGACACCAGAAGCTCTGCTCACTCCACTTTAAACCCAAAACACCTGCCATCCTACATTAACATCTTTTTATGTTACACTGTATTTATTTTGTTGTGTGTTCACATATATGTATCTGTGCCATGATGCTCATGTGGGAGTCGGAGGACAACTTAATGGGATAGGAGAAGGTTCTCTCCTTCGTGGGTCCCAGGGATCCAAGCACCTTTACCTGCTTAGCTACCTCACTGGTCTGACTTTAACATTATGTGTTGTTGTTAGTAGCAAGGATGAAAATGTGGATGGTACAGAGTATGGTTCAGAAAGAAATTACATTCTAAAAAAAAAAAATCAGAGATAAAAAGGGGGTGATCATTAAAAAAGGAGGAGACACATCAGAGATAATAGAGACAGAGTTTGGAGGGAGTTCTAATCCAGCTTGATATGGCAGGTACTTGAGACTTTCTAGAAAAGATGGCATTACTAGGCAAAGAAGAGAGGAATAAATATGCTAGATGGAGAACCCAGTATGAGCAAAGACCTCAAGAGAGAAGTAACACAGCTAAGCTACAATCAGCAGCGAGCATTACCAAAGCACAGAAGGAAAAATACAGCAGCACAAGAGTAAAAGACGTAGATGAGGAGGGGCCTTTCTGATGGGAAAGACCTTATGCAGCATACACAAGGTTGCTGAAGGCTTACAAGTGTGTTCTGAAATGATATGATGACTGTGACCAGGCCTACTCCTTATGAAATGATATTCATTCCTGTTACCTTTCCATTCCTTCTGTTTTCAGCCAAGCCTAAAAATGAATGATATTTTAGAAAACTGTGTGATTAGTTTATTTTCAAAGTTAACAAATACTTTACTCCTAAGAGGGGGAAAAACTTGTTTAAAATAATCAGGAAGGGAACAGTCACCTGGACAAAAGATAGCATGCAGACTCATCAGAATTCATAGTGGTTATTTTTCAATTCTAAACTTGATTTATTTGAATGTGTGTGTGCTGAGATTTTAGAAGTGTCATATTGCCTAGATGGGCTCAGGTTTTTCATAATATGCTTTTTTAAGGAATATTTTTATTTACTCTTTGGCAATAATATATCTCAATCATACAAAACCCAAGCACCCCTCTACTCTGCCTGGAACCTCCAATATTTCCCCTTCCCATCTTCCTGTCCTCTTCTTTTAAAATAATGAGGCTAACTAGTACCATCTGTATGTATATGGGTGTCTATATTTTGAATCTTAAAAGAACAAAATCATCAGACACAGAGTATATTTTATAACTTATAAAGAGCCAATCTTTTTTAAATGCTTACAAATTTTTAAATTTTCACTTCAATCAAGATAAATTAATCAACCTATGACTTTCTCTCACTTTATATGCCATGTAACTTCTTGATCGGTAACAGACATAATATAGGCACAGAATATTGTGCATACTCTAAAGAACTTAAGCCATTACCTAGAGAAGATCCAAGAGAAATAGGCAGGGTCTACAAAACAAGGAAAGATTATGTTTTATCTAAAGAGAGAGAGAGATGAGAAGTATCTGACATTTAAAAGACATGAAAGATTTCTGTCAGGACAAAAAAGAGATGATTAGGTCATCTCCGTCTCACTTGAAACCCAACTACGTATGTGTCTTTGTTACAACAAAGACGTCCTTTCTTTTTCATGGAAAACCTTGTTGTTAATTTACAACACCACAAATCAATTCAAGGCATGACTGTCAAGAAAGAACTCTTAATTTCTACAACTTCTGCAGTTTATTTATTTCAATTTGTACCTTAGCGTTCATCCTTTGACTATGAACTCTTACAAATTTGTGTGTGTGTTTTTTCTAAACTCTACAACTGAATGTAAAGCCTAATTAATATCTATACATTCAAACAACCCTTCAGACCATTAACTCCCTCTGGCTAAAGTGATAACTAAGCTGTCTAACAATATCTGCCCTCCCTTTTTCTTTGTTGTTCTTTATGAACGACAAAGATTCTACCAGGAAGTACACTTAGTAGATGTGATAATCTGCAATAGGTGAAGTCCCTGCTAATCTTCATGACATTAGTGTTTCACTAGGAAACTAAATAAATTCAAAGCACTCCTTAAACTTTTCAAGTTCTGACACCTTAAAAATGAAATTAATTAGATATACCTATCTATCAAAATAAAATGACTTCTAAGTCACAACCTAATGAAGAAGAGGAATTTTAGATTAAAATCAAGGAAAATGTAGCTTCTGAACACCATCAGACTGAAACAGTGCTGTGTTCTGCGGAACCATTCAGTGCATGCATACACCGGAGGTAGAAATCTACTATTGCTACTGCTGAAGTTCCCAGCAGAGTGAGATCTTTGCTTTTGTCGGTATTTGTTGAAAATGGACTAAAATTCCCTTCCTGCTGTGCTGCTGAAGTGTATGTCCTGTATGCAAGAAAGGTGAGACAGATGAGCTTCCATTCTGAATGCAAATCAGATGAGTAGGCTCATCATTTCTCTTGATGGGGAGCAAGGAGAGTGAAATGAAAGTGGACACCCAATGAGACACGTGGAGCTTCCTATATCAAGCAGGATTGGCAGAGATGGGCTTCTGGAACTCTCAGAAGCTGGACAAAGACACAGCAAAAACACGGCTTTCCCCCAAACTTCCTTCATTTTCTAGAGAACATAAGGTATCCTATTCTACTCATTTATTTCTATTTGTAAATGGAAACTATTTTTGTAGTTTTGATGTCACTCATGGTAATGTGGCAAGATTGCTCTGAATCTGTTTCCAACCAATTTATTTAGAATTAGATTTATAAAGAACACAGAATTTTAAGACATTTAACCTCCATGCAAATAGTACAGATTTCTGTGTCTAGGCTGTCAGCATTCTAATGGGTATGCAAAGCAAAAACAAGGAGAAACTGGAGCACACAGGATAAAAATGTGTAGAGTGACAGGAATCTGTAGCCATCAGGAAGACACAGCACATGCCCAATCCTACTCCATCTTGGAAGCCTGTAAAAGTTCATTTCTTGTGTTCTTCCCGTCATTCAAGTTTGTTAGTATTTCTGCATTTAAGGCAACCGAGTAGAGGCTCACTCTGTGAATGCCTCAGGGGCTGTTAGAGCCTGCTTTGCCTGGATAATGTACTTCTGGTAAAGCCTCTGCTCAGTGTTAGCACAACTTGGGTGTGCTGCTCTACAAACAGAAAGGCTTCCTTAATCATATCAGCACTGTGTCCTCCAGTGGCAATCATCAGAGGTTTAGACTAATGATATTCCACAAATTGAGAGGTTTGAGAATCAATAGAGTTGAAAATGGATTTCACATGCTGTTTCTTCCCTCTTACCCTATGTCTCTGTCCGAATTTTTTGTTTGTTTTGTTTCTTTAATACACATGCTTCCTCCAATTCTACTAAATCTCAGGTTTCACACCAGCCTTCTGCTTAATGGCAAGTGTAATTGGCAAGAAGTAGGTGACCAGGAAACTCTCCAGTGATATATACTCAAGTGAACAGGCCACAAATAGTTCCTCTTGGATAAATGCACACAATGCAATGATAAAATGCAAATTAAAGCAATTATTATGTTACTATTGTGAGAAAAATTCAGGACCAACTCAAGTATTTTGCTTCAGATGAAAACACTAGTGATGGAGCACTTGAAGCCAAATAGCAGCAGTTTGACACCAACTAGTCTTTCCAGGAAATCCTACTGTCTTCACTGTTATTTCTGTCAAAATGCCTCGGTATAGAAGTAGTCCATAAACATATGGATGGAGAAAGCCCAGTATCTACCTATGTCCAGAAGACATCATGCATGCTCCAGCTATGAGCAGCCTTCCTCTGCACCTATATGTCAGTGTAAACAGAGCTATGAAAATAGTAATGGCAAACTACCAAAATGACCCCAAAATGACTGAAGCACTTTTTGTTTTTGTTTGTTTCGTTGTTTGGTTGGTTTTTGTTTCAGCTTGGTTTTATAAGAAAAGGCTCCTGTAGCCCTTGAACTCCCAATTGCTTACCCTAGCCCAGCGTCCCAAGAGCTGGGATTCCAGGCGCAGCACATGCCCAGGGCTACTGCAGCATATCTGAAGGGACATCGTCCCTATCATTTACTCATTTGCCTGAATTTACAATGCACCAAGGAGCAGCTCCCTATGTGTGAAGCACCGTGCACAGTACAAAGGCTACAGAAAAGAAAGACTCCCAGAAACTGCCAGGCAGCCTGAACTTCTGCATTCCCTTGCACAGTGCTGACTCATTAGCGGTGACTGTGTACACATTTAATTAAGACATAGGGAGTAGCAAGAAGAGTGTCCTGGTAGATACAAATGGAAACATGGCCAGGTACATTACCCCTAAGTTCCCACTTTGATTTCTAGTTGCTCTGTAGCCCATATTTTTCATAAAGATTAAAATCCTTTAAGACATACAAAATGTATTGAGATGGGATAAATTAAAAATAAAAGATAAACAATTACAACAGAACAGGGAACAAGAGTAGCAGTTATAAAATAAAGCTGCCACACTTTACAGGTTTAACCTTTGGTGATTAAAACTTTGGTTTTAAGTTTCCTAAGAGATAACTCAATTACAGAAACCTTGTTAGTTATTCTATTCATTTACTTATAAGACCCAAACAAATAAAAAACAGCTATTTTAAAGCACTATGACTTATCAAGCCAACGTTTTTCTCTATATAAAAGATACTAGCATAGTGTGACCAAAGATTACCAAATACATCCTTAGAAATGAGATAACAGTGTTCACACAGCTGTTTCTTAGAATATCACTTCCCAAAAGTTGACAGAACGAAATCACCATAGATTTTTCATTCTGTTAGTTAAGTTTAGAGAATGGAGAGAGGAGAGAGACCTAAGTCTGTGAAGCCAGAGCCTAAGAAGAACAGCTTCCAAGCAGCCTGCCCTGCACTGGACAGGACAGAGGTGCACACTGCACACTAGGACATTATCTTTACGAATAACTTACACGTCCCTTTTCAATACATGGGCAAGCATATACGTAAGCCCAAAGTTCCAATCACAACAATTTTATCTTGCAAAATCCCCAGGGTACAAGTGTCTGGTCTGTTTGGGGTTGGCTCACCCACTCACAAGGATTTCCAGGGCATTTCTCCATTATACCCGAGGAGCTAAGCTTTAGCAAACTGCACTACTAGGATCAACAGTAAGACATGTGTTACCACCAATGGTCGTGGATCTGGTCAGAGAACGCTGTACAAAAGCTTCTTCGTCATTAAATTGTTTCTTCAGTTCTTCGACAGATTCCAGGTGGAGCTGGAGAAACTCTGCCGTGGCAGCTGCTGCTGCCTCCTTAACAGGTTCTATCATGCGCTTCAGAAGAACCAGGTCATCCCTGTGGACTTTTAAGCAAAGCTTCTCCATTTCTCGGATATTGGAGCGGAGTTGCTATAAATGAAAAATGGAAACATTACCTTTACCATTTCTCAGTATAAGACCTATTTCTTCTCAGAATAATTTGCTATAATGGTCATGAATGCAAATGATTATATATTGTCTACTATAGGAGCATACGGTTTTTCAATTTCCCACATCTGTCTCTTGGCTGGCCTAGAATCCATGTCCTCAAACTCGAATTTATGTGGTAATTTTGCATTTATTACATGTGACTACTACACAATAAATGTTGTACAACTAGCATTATCTTGTGGGACATTCATAGAACTTGAATATCTTAAAGACTCAAGTGATCTGTATTGTTAAATCACAGATACATTCTATAATTTCTAATAAAAGTATATGATTCCAAAATGAGTAAAGTAAAAATGAAAATGAAAAGTCAATATAGCGGGAAAAAAAATACATGTAATAGGAGCTAAAAAGATGGCTAAGCATCTTTTAAGCTAGTTAAGAGCACTGGCTGTTCTTCCAGAGGACTCAGGTTCAATTAATTCCCAGCACCCACACGGCAGGTCATAACTGTCTGCAACTCCAGTTCTAGGGAGTATGATGACCTCTTCTGGCTTCCAGGGGCACTAAACACATATGTACAAGCATACATCCTACATATAAAATTAAAAAATAAAATATTAAAAAAGAAAGTACATAATAGAACAAAAGATACAATCATTAATTATATTAAATATTAATTAAGCAAATATTAATTATAAAATAAAGATATTTTTGGACAGAATAAACAAGAAATACATTTAAAACATAAATACAAAATGGTTTAAACAAAGAGGGAAAAAAAGGGGACCACATTAACCCTAACAACGCTATCCAAAGAATGACTTGCTATAGCAGCATTAGTGTCAGACAGACGGACAGACTTTAAAGCAATCCCATCACCAGAAATAGAGAATCACTTTATAAGTGTCTCTTCAGAAATATATCATAACACAGACAGAATAATACAATACAAAACCTGACAAAACTACAAGTGTTTCTTTTTTCTATGTGTGTGTCCCAGCGTGAATGTTTGGAAGTATATAGGCTCGTGTGTATGCTGATGTACATGTGGGGGAGATACAAATTTGATATCAAATGTTGTCCTTGATTGCTCTTTTCTTTGTTTTCTGAGGCAGGGTCTCCGGCTGAACCTGGAGTGCACTGATTCCAGCTATTCTAGCCAGACGGCCTGTTCTAGTAATTTCCTGTCTCTGCCTTCCAAGCACTAGGGTGACAGGTGGCCACCATGCCAGCCTGTCTTATGTGAGTTCTTGGTGTCTAAACTTTGGTTCTTATGCTTAGGTGGCAAATGTTTTTATCCACTGAGCCATCTCCCCAGCCCAAAAATGTTAAAATTAAAGGTCTTAAAAGCCTCTCTTCCAGCTGCCTGAGGATCAGGATGTAAAACTTTAACCTCTCCAGTACCAAGGCTTTCTGCATGCTACCATGCTCCTTCCAATGATGATAATGGAGTAAACCTCTGAAACTATAGGCAAGCCCCAATTAAATGCTTTCTCTTATAAAAGTTGCCTTTGTCATGGTGTCTCTTTACAGCAATACAACAATGACTAAGACAGCTCCATTTCCTTGTTCTTCTCTTCTTCTTTCAGATGCTTGCCCGAGCTAGTGCTCCCTCACCCATGAGCTGTGCTCCACTCGCTCACAGGCTGCTTTACCTTCTCTATTCTAAGCCTCCCTGTTCCACGCAGATGACCTATACAGTTTGCTCTGGGCTTTCCTTTCACACTCATTTTAAAAACAAGAAAAGAAAGACTAGAAATTAGCAAGGTAAAGAACTAACTGAAGAACCTAGAAACAAAGGCAAATGTAAAAAGAAGAAAGTTACAAAGAGACAAATAAACTTAATGAGACAGAGAAACAGGTACACAACAGATTAACAAAGCCAAAATTATTTTTGGGGAAGAATAAAAAAATTGATGAGCTTCACAAAAGTAGTTTTAAAAATAGACACAAATAACCAAAATCATAACAAGGAGCATCTCTGCACATCTTAAAGAATTAAAAAGATAATGAGAAATTATAAATAAACGGCATAGTGGTGGTGAACCCCTTTAAGTTCAGCTCGGGGAGGCAGAGGCAGACAGAGCTCTAAATTCAAGGCTAGCTTGATCTAGAGAGTGAGTTCCAGAACAGCCAGAGCTACACAGAGAAACCTTGTCCTGAAAAAAACCGAAACCAAAGCCAAAACCAAACCAAACCAACAGCAAAAAAAGAATTATGAATAAATTTATGCCAATAAATTAGAAGAGTTGGATGAAATGGACACATTTATATAAAAGTATAATTTATCAAACTGATATAATCAAAACCTAAATGGTCACTTAAATATTAATTTTCTTTTTCTTTTTTCTTTCTTTATTTTATTTATTTTTATTTTTTATTTTTTATTTTTTTTGAGATAGGGTCTCATCCAGCTCAGAATAGCCTCAAATTTCCTATGTAGCTGAGGCTGGCCTTGAGTTCATTGATCCTCCTGCTTCTCCCTCCTGAATGCAAAGATTATAAGCACTGGTCACTATATCCAGCTACTATTAAATAAATTAAATGCATATTTTTGAAACTCCCCTCCCTCTCCTTCCCCATGTTAAACAACAATCAACCAAATTGTTTTTAAACAATGGCTCAAAGCCAGCAGGAGTTGTGTCACTGTTCAGTTTTACCAAATATTTGTAAGAAATTACACAGCTCCCTCATGGAATGGTTAAAGGCTAGTGCCTTGATAACAAAACTCAGCAAAGAAAAGGAAATATTCACAGCGAACTCATGTGCTCTCACAAACAATGTACAGAAATTCTCAGAAAAATGTGGCAACTTAAATCTGGCAGAACATAACAGAGCAACAGCAGTACTGAACAGACCCACTTCAAAAGTCAGATTAGAAGGTACTGTTACGGCAACAAGAGTAAATTGCAAGCCAGTCGCAAAGACACAGTCTGCTTAGTTCAGTCTCTATCATGTTCTGAAACAGGCTGAATTAAACACAGTCTGAAGGACTCATTTGGGGACGAGGCCACACAGAGAAGATGGGAAGTACCTGCCAGGGTCGCCAGGATGGCGATGCCTGTGGTGGGAAGACAGGTGGTGGTAACTGAAATGAGCCACAGACCCTTTGAGAATGCTCACAGCTATCTATTTTGGTACATGAGTATGTAAGTGTAATTTTTTGGGAGCATATTCATGGCATGAGTATTCTACAGTACATACCATGTTATTCAGAGTTTAATGTTTCTAGAAAAGAAATCTACATTGATCTAAGTGATAACCAACCTAAAGGTCAATATGGATGAAAACACCTGTGGTGGGGGGGATATGCTGCAGTAGAGCTCTAGCTGTGTAGGTATGTGAGTTATTAGCCTGTGAATCTGTGTTCTTTCAATGGGTGGAAGAAGTAATGAAAGAGACTGCTTCTTTGGGATGAATTCTGACATAACATAAAACCATGTGGTAGGAAAAAGACCCGTGAGAAGGCACATATCAGAGGTCACCGACATTCAGAGAGGAGCACTACAGTTAGTGAGTCATGGGGAGCGTTAATTTTATCAGCTTTGAAGAAAAGGGCTGGATGATGCCACAAAATAAATTATACTGTGATGAGATTTGTTTTTAAAGAAACTGTTTGACCCTCTAAATTGTGACTTTATGATACTATAAAAGCAAATGAATCTTAACTGAGAGAAGAAAGTGATGTCTAGGAATCAAATATGACTGCAGAATATGGAAAGTTCAGGATCTCAAGACACTCCCCAAAGAGGGGGTGGGGAGGGAGGAAAGTCACGTGAACCCAAAAGAGTGGTGTGAAACAAGGAGAATCATGCAAGGAAGAGCCCAGAATGAGCGGAGGCTGCTGAAAAAGTTAAGAACAATAAAAGGATATAAAAATACATGTACAGCAAGAACAAGAGGAAGGCTCAGGCCCACTGCCTTGGGGCAGATGGTGTAACGCTAACAGATGATGTAGAGAGCAAAATCATTTAGCTCCTGTTTTGCTTTTGATTCTGTATTAAGAAAAACTTCAAAATTAAAAGGGGATAAGAAACACGCCCCAAAAAAATCTGTGTCACTAGAAATCTGTATAAGCTTCACAAAGCAGTAGCTTGGTCTTGTCTCTGAAAACCAGTTTTAGGGAACTAGGACATACTAAACACAACGCCCTCTTGGTCGGCACTTCAGCAGCAGGACACGCATCTTTGCCATATTTAATAGCACTGTGCTGAACTCCCTTGCCCACTGTGCAAAAGCACTGGGCCAACCAAAGTAGCAGCATCTGTCCTTCCCACAGGAAGACAGCATGGCGCCTTAGATGTCATCCACCCCATCCTCCCTGTGCCAATTAGGACTCAGGTCAAAGAGCCAGAGTCCAGATTAATCTCATAAATGTTTCAAAGCAACAATAAAATTCCTCTGAACTCACACTAACCTGGCATAACTTCTTTTCTACCGCCTCCAACTAAGAAGCTGCTTCTTGCCTGCCTGCCATTGCTACCTCCCCTGCCCTCCCTGTCCATTTCTTCCCTCTGAACTGTTTTCTACTTTTCTTGCTTTCATACTGTTCGCCTCATTATTTCTCTTTTCTCTTGCTTCTTTTCCTGCCCAAATACTCCTTTTAAAGATGAAAACATAGACCCAGAGTAAGACAGTGATCTTACTCTGTCTCCGAGTAAGATCATCAAAGTCACACTTCATATCACCTGAGTTCCTATCTGGTTTTACTTTTGTGTACCTGTGCTGCTTACAAACTGGGTAGATTTTGTATAGGCAGTAAGTATCCTTCCAAATGAGCTCTGACATCTACTGAACCAGAATCTCTAAGTGAGCCTCAGATATGTTGGCTCCTGACAAGTTCTATGCCAGCTGTTAGTGGAAAAGAGAAGTTGAGGACATTTCTTTGAAAGCCACACTGATTCTCCAATGATTTTCACAGTAACAATTTCCAGAGCCGTCATTATCTTATAAAAACTGGTCACAAAATATTGCTT